CAGAGCGAGCAAATGTAGGTAACTGAATCATTCAGAGTGAGCAAGATTCGCAAAATCAACTCTTTGCCCCCGTGATCGCACGAATTGAAACGCATGTACATGTAACTCTACTTGTAGTTACATTCGATGTTCGATATTACCTTTGTTCGATATGAATCAAACAAACGATCGATGCATATTTTATGTTGGACGGTCCCATCGATTTGACAACGAACTGCAGAGCGGCAATCGTTACCTGTAACCGGTTTCTCACGCGTAATATACGCCATAGTAAACGCTTCAGTGATTCTTGGGAGAAACAAGACTCATCTCGCGAGAAACGAGACGAGAGGTGGTAACTTACTTTTGAGCGGTACTGTACGTGCTGTACACTGTACTAACCAAACACCAGAAACAGGAAACTTTCAATACTGGCAATAGGTTTAGCTTCCACTGGATTTTGTTTCACTTTGCTTGTTTTTTGCCATTTCATTTCATTCATTTCACTTTGTTGGTTTTGTTGTTATTGTTGTTGTTGTTGTTTCAGGTTTTGTAGTGTAGTACTAATACATGTACATACCAGTTGTGATACATGTATATTGCATGAAAACTGAAAACTGTACGCTATTTTTGTCAGTGAATTCAGCCATATTTTGTACATGTAAGAACAACTTATTGAAAAACTATGCAAATTTACATCATGCATGACACTGAGGTGTCAATAATGGCAAAAAACATAAGCTTATGCATAGACGCTGTCAATGATCAGTAATGATTTAGGCGTGAAAAGAAAAATGCAGACCAGGAAACCCATTACTGGCCTTGGCTGCATTGGTTACTGAGTTTGTTTTTGCCCTTCACTAAGGGGCCATGCTCATAGGCAGTGTTTGACATTTCCTGACTGCATATATATATACCGCAGACTGCAGACTTCACACAACTAAAATTGCATTCCCATTTCCATTTCCGAGGGCTAAGTGTAAACAGGTCAACGTGTGTGCTACTCAGGTTAATCTGAGGGATATTCAGGCTAACCAGGGCGCCTGAATGAAGTCAGCAGTCTGCAGTCTGGAAATGTCATACACCGGCCGTTATGCTGCAATAAGCTTGAGCAACATGTTTGTGGGGAAATTGGAAACGTTAAACTTGTTGATTATGCTATGGCAGTCCATGGACCACGTTCATAGAGGTAGTCAGTGGATTGAGTACAATCCATCGACCCATATCAACTTTCATTCTTGCACAGAACCTGACGTTTCTACAACCATTCTATAAAATAGTGGCAACACAAACCGCAATAAAACAACTTACCCTAAAGCTTTTGTCCTTATCTGCTTTTAGATCTGATTCAAAACTCTTTAAGGTGTTCGAAAACGCTCGAAATACGAGATACTCTTTGATAACGTCGTCCAACATCGGTATAGCAGCGGCCATCTTTCTTTTGCCTCGATTTGACGCTGTTAGTTTCTCGGGCCGACCCCTGAGAGTAGCTGACGATTCACTCTGGTTTTAATATTATATATATATATATATTTTTTCCTTTTCTTCCCCTTTTTCTGTCTTCCTCTATTTATCTCAACTTTTTAGCTGGCCAGATCTCTGACTGAAAATGGCATTGTAAACGGAATACAAAATAATGAGAAATCCGATATCGTCTTCGTACCTGGGGTGGGATGGGGGTGTGGGGTTGTAACCATACTTCTTGCTACAGCCGTCCCAGCAGGGAACCTCACGAATCTTCAGGTCGAAGGGTCTTCAGCACTGCTTTTTGCTTTTGAAGAAAACAACTTGAAAGGCTGTAACAATGGAAGCTCATTCAGTTGTTCCTGATGTTGTAGATGTTCTTCCCGAACAAGTCATCAAGGTTAGCTCATCGTCAGTGTGTTAAATGCAACAGCTGATCGAGCAGAAAGAGTCTGATCTAAATTCACCATCCTCTCCATCTACTCTCCCTTCTCTGTTTGTCATTCTAAACAAGGGGTAACATTTGCCTCCTGGCATACATTTCTTTGTAAAAATTGGCAAGTTTTGGTTCCCATATTTTCATGAGTTTGAAACTTTTTTGTGAAACTTCGCATATTGGATTCGGCATGATAAATGGTGTGGTGAGTCTGGTGAGGCATATTGCTTGTTTAAATGAAGAAATTGGAGAAGCTTGACATCAGTAAAAGGTCCATTTTATCTCAAGATTGTCCATGGTGTGAATGGTGCACCTTTCACACGAGTTTTGCACAGTTACTAAACGTTTACACCAGCAGCTTACAGGCACAGTGCACCACAGCTGGGTGTGGTGGGTTGACATTGGGGCAGCCCCCCCGTTCCCCGGCGGGGCATTCCCATATAAAAAGGAAGGAATTGCCCATCGAAAATTTTGAAAAGAACCCCTGAAGTGCCTGAAGAAATGCCAAGATCCTGTTTTGTAGGCATGACTTGAAATTTGTTAATCCCTGATCCCTGATCCCTGAGAACATTACCTGACATTGGCTTTTTTGGGCTCACTACTGTAAGAGGTAATTCGAAAGCTCCTGGTGGACTTTTTGAGGTTGAACATTCTAAGAGGTTTAACCCCTAAAAGGTACAACAAGCACCCCATCCTTTTTATATTGGAGTCCCCTCCAGGGGGGCGAGGCTTGATCAGTAGCTGCTCTGAGGTGTTTTACCCGTGAAAACTGAATATTTGGACGGGAAGGTACAAATTGCGTAAAAATAATTAAAGCTTTTTCAGCAATGCTACTGTGGTGGGAGGCTTGGAAATGAAATTGGTAACACATAAAAGCATGAGATATAGAAGGATTAGTAAAGTATTTGTACGTAACATTCATGCTTTTGCAGGTGAAATATGGAGACCTGGAAGTGGACATGGGCAATTCACTGACTCCAACTCAGGCAAAGATACTTTTAATATATCTAAAAATAGTGTAGTGCCTGACCACTGGCAATCTATTAATGTGACAGTTGGTTACAGTATATTAAACTCCTGGGTTTGGGGGTAAAATCTATATGGGAGGGTGGGAAGTGTGATCGCCCAACATGATGGGCACCAAGAGAAGTAAGAAAAATTTGGTTGTTAACTATACAACATAATTTGGCAAATAATAAAGCTGATTTTCACATCCAAGTCGAGATACAGTATAAGGCAACAAAACCAGATTCATGAATCCTTTAAAATTTTCATCTAACTACAGACTGGAAGCATTACAGCCTCATCATTTAATGTCAGGGGTATAATTCTACTTGGACTTCCTAAAAGTCCTTTCCCGCAATACTTCCCTGGCCTCTTGCTTTTGCTGTTGGAAAGCACCTTTCGCAACTTACATCGCTTGCACTCACAACTTCACTACCCAAAGATCACCTTCTCACTAGAATGATGATTAAGCAAAGAGAGATTTAATTAACCAAAGGATTAAAATAATGAAGGTCGATTTGTGGTAAGTCTAAATTTTACACATGGCTTATAGATCTTTGTTTTGGCTTCTGCTACTCTGCTGTAAAATAAATTGTACTATGATCATTCAGCCTTATTTTTTATGACCTATTCTTTAGGTTAAGAAACCACCAACATCAATCTCATGGCCTGTTGAAGATGGGGCATTTTATACTCTTCTAATGACAGGCAAGTTTCATTCAAATCTGATCAAATTCTTTGCAGTGGTCAACATTTAACTTCTCAAATTATCAATAAAAGTCAGGCATGGCAACTTAACTTTCCTGGATGCAGGTCTGTACAGAACTGTTAGAGTTATTATTTTCGTTGAGCAGAAAAATAGTCTGGCACAATTCCCTAACTTCAATATGTGAGAGACCCATAATTGAACATGGGAGGATGATCACTGCATCATAGCAACCATCAGGAGGGATTTGGGTGACACTGACAACACTTTATGCTGTGTCACGATAAAACAAAAAAACTCTTCAGGGATGAAGATGACACTAAATCGTCCTTCCCTACTGCCAGCCCTGCTTCTACCCCAGACTCAGCATTCTAAGTGTTAGTGGAAGTGCACTGACTGGAATCTATATGTATAGCAGGAATTCTGGCTTCAAGCTCTGGTCGTGGTCACTGTGTTGTTACTCACACAGTCTCTCTCAATTCACCCAGTTGTACGAAACATGCCAGTGAACTAAATGCTCAGGGGTAACCCTGAAATAGATTGGAAGCCTATCCTGGGGGGAGGGCAATATACTGATTGCCTTATGTTACTGTACCAATCTCAAGATAAGCATGATGGGCCTTTTCCTTTTGAATTCTCAGTACCCCTCCCACAATCATGCGATAGTCTTGTTTTGCATTATTACAGATCCTGATGCACCCAGTCGTCACGACCCCAAGTTCCGAGAATGGCACCACTGGCTTGTTGTAAACATCCCTGGTTGTGACATCACTAAAGGAGAAGTGAAGTTGGAGTATGTTGGGTCCGGACCTCCCAAAGGCACAAAGCTCCATCGCTACGTATTCCTTGCATACAAACAACCTGGCAAGATTAGCTACACTGATCAAGTAGTGTGCAGCAGGTTAGCATGCATCACTTTCTCAGTCCCATCATACCCTAAATCTTTTTCCTTCTCCAGTCCTTGATGGGTCAGGGGTAAGGGGTTCCGATATTTTGAAAAGTGTTCCAAGATAGCGCACAAAGTGTTTGCACGAGGGGACGTAACGAAATGTATCAAACCAAATTTACTTTCCCCAATCTGACTGGTAAGATATTTTACTACCGTCTTCGTTTGGATGACTTTTTCTTAGACCTACATGCCTCCTGGGGACTGGTTTCATCTTTTCACAGGGCAGTCCTGCTTTTAGCTTTTCAAAAAAATGTGAAATCTTTCATTTTCCAAATGAAATTTATTCTCTTTCAGTAATTTTTATGTGTTAACATGAGGGCCGCAAATTCCAACAGCTCAGATTTTCCTTTTCCAGGCCTGGTTTTGAGCGTGCTTCGAGAAAGGCACGTGATCTGGCCGCCAAGTACAATCTCGGCAATCCGGTGGCGGGAAATCTTTTCCAGGCTGAACACGAAGGGTGATGCACTGGACGCACAGGAACTGGTCAAACTAGTCCCAAGCTTGATATGGACGGCACTGCACATGGATAACGTTCGTTTGCAACTTAGATTAGGTCTTATCTCGTAGAAATCAAGACTTGGTCAAGTTTTCACCTGAGCACTTTGTTTAGCCAGATAGAATGTGTGGGGCGTTATCGCTCTGTTAGGGAAGTTTCGAGAAAACGGCGTTATGTTCACATGGATATGATTATCTTCTGATAGTCCTGATAACGTAGGACATATCAATAACTTAACTTACTCGTTGGACTTGCAGTATATTGTACCAAGCTGATGTAAACGATAACTTAAGTTTATTTGGGTCACTGAATAAAATCCGTTGAACTGTCCCATTGCATTCAGTGAAGACGTCTAATATAAGTTTAGAAGACTTATACAGCACTAGTTAGATCACTGTTCCTGGCGTTATTCGGTAGATAGCGTTATAACCACCCTTTGTGCAGACGAGGAGAGTTGAGCAATTGTACTCTTTTGGAATACCGTAAAATGGCAAATACCGACAGGGCGAGGTACAAAATGGGTGCTTATAACCAGAATAGTTTTTTTTCAGTATACATAGAGATGGGCCTATAACTTAGGATGGGGAGCTTTACACTGAATTTTATGGTACGTCGACACTTGTTTTTGGCGATGCGTTTGAAACATTTGATGCTTTTTGAACCATCGAGTGCATGGTCTTCTTTAGCACGTTTCAAATGTCGGGATTCAGGCTCCTTGCCTCGTGGTAATTAATTAATTTGTTCCTGCTTGTACTGATACATATAAACATTCAGCTGCCCTACAATCCGCTAAGTCACTCTCACCAAGACTGGCTAACACTCGTAACGTCAGCTGCTTCAGAGAAGGGAAACGACGCGTGCGCGGTTATTAGCGTTCAAAGTTTATGCTAACTAACTTATCTTAGACTGAGCTGAGTTCCCCCAAGTATGACTAGTTCAACCCGAGTTTTAACAGAATTAAAATCAGTTCCTCAGCTGTGCTTTCGATTCGTTCTGGGACAGGTTAATAATTTTTAGAACTCTCGAAGCAGTTATTTTAAACTCCTGTCACATTAAACCTGAGCTGACAAGTTTAACCGGTGCGATAAAGTGACATTATAAATTAAATGTACTTTCCGCCAGCCTTGCATCCAACCACTGATTCTCAGGGACCTCTCTACCTTTTGGAGAGAGTAAGAGATCGAGGTCGAGGACAATGGGAACGATTAAATTTCCTCGCGCAAACATTCTGCTTAAAAGGCTTTGGAAACATTTTAGTTGCTTCTAAAGGACTGATTTGCCACTGGTTCACCCACGGTGTCGTGACTGGGAAAAATACCCGTTTCTCGGAGTCCTTGACTCACCAATTCAAGGCATTGTCTCATTTGAACAAAACCCATTGAGGCTAAGTTAATAATACTTGGAATCGAAGAACTTGAAATTTGTTGTGTTTTTTTGTTGATCATATAATTCGATTTATCAAATCGTAGCTATGGCATTTCCGTATGAAATTAAAAGGACTTTTTAAGGGCATAGTAGAGTAGACTTTTCAGTAGTGCCCTTGAAAAAAAAATTGGATTTGGTACGAAATATCTTATCTCCTTTCGAAGGGGGCAATGTTTTTAATGAGATCATTTTATAGATTGATAGGCAGCGGAACCAGCCTGTCGTGCAAGCGAGCATCGCCTGTAGCAAATCATACAAAGCCTTACAAGTTTGTCACACACGTGGGGCTATCTATATACGAGAGATGTTGAATATCATCAAGTAAGGCCTGTAACTAATACGGGAGACTCTGCATCAGGCTTACAACACGAACATACAAAACTTGCCTCGCTTAAATTTCCGTGTGGTGTTCGTGTTGAATCTGAGGTCGAGAAATCCTGGCCTTTTAAAACCATGCATGTAACGGAAAATACGATTATTTCATTTCAGTTTCGGGTTATCAACGCAGAGCAGCACGAAGTCTTGACGCATGGTGTGCACTACAAAAAAGAGCAAAAAGACGACATTACAAGTCTTATAGTGTAGTCACAGATTATGAGGGGCAGGACTTGCTATCCTTCACTGCAAATCGCTGTAAATTTTCCATTGTGACGATCTCCGTGACTTTCACTCAAACGATTCTTGCTGCTCACTTATTTTGACCTCCTTGTTTCATATTTCCGACAACCAAGTTGTCTGTACAAGCAAGGTCACGACAAAACATGCCAGTTGCATCCACAGAGCTTGATCCGCGCTCCCGCCCCTGCCCCTTTCTGCCTTATTCCAAATATTACGGGTGTTCCACTGTTTTCGAGCAAATAGTGGTTTGCCGGGTCATTTCCGTGGTAGATTGCTAGGCACTCTGCCAGGGCTCAGTGACTTGAGAGTCAGAACGAGCGTAAAACATAGAGAAGATTACGCTCGAGCTGGCAAGACTTTTGTAGGAGAGCGCCGAAACTAGACTGCGAACAATCTCTTTCTTTTCCTAGAGCGCGGCGCGAATACACGAATGCGAAGCTAAAGAAGAACGATCGAGCAGCGAGAAGGGCATTCCTTTCTCGTTTCTTTCCCTAATTTGCATCATTTAACTTTGAACAAGGACCGAATGCTCGTATATAGTCTAGAGCGCAACCAATGTGCCTTCATAGTCTCCGTGTCGTGCCATGGATACAATTAAACTCTTTTGGAAAGTAAACGGTCACTAGCCAACCATATGACTCATAACCCTCAGGCCCCATCCACACTGCACCGGAGGAATTTGAAAACGGAGCACTTCACTCTGAAAACGCATCAAATGTTTTCCGTCCAAAAGCGCAACATTCATCGGTTATTTTGAATTCACTGTGTTTGAGGAAAACTCGGTCAGGGAAATCAAATAATTATCGTGACGCCATCGTTTTCGAAAAGTTCATTTTTAAAAATGCTTTCCCTCCGCACTCGAAAACGAAAATCCGGCGTTTTCAAATTCCTCCGTTTTCTCACGGATCATCTGAATGTGGACGGCAGGCCTAACCGCGTAGAAATAAAGCTGCGTTTTCAAATTTCTCCGGCGTAGTGTGAACGCTCCCTCAGTCTTGACATCGCAGGTTGCAGTCGGACACGTTGTAGTTTTGTCAAACTGACTGCCAAACTCCAAACACTTTCCACAGAAGTTAAAGTTCCGTCGATGTCACCGTATATTACTAACCATGGTTGTTAAAAGCACTGTTTCCTTTTCTATTTGAAAGCAATTTCCCCCAAAGAAATATTAACTGATTAGTTCTTTTATTCTTAGCGCATGCCTGCCATGCTTTGTATGGATGTTTGGGGGAAAACTGGACTCTGATCTAGCCTAAAGTTTAGAGTTGTTTTATTTAAATCGTAAACATCGAAACTTTCCAGCACGGATTAATATCGGATGATGTGGCCGTAATATTGTACTTAGATAAGATTAAAACCAGTTCAGCCAAAAGACAAAAAAGCCTGTTGCAAAACTAATTATGTATGTCTTATGTCCAGACTTTTGCGGACAGGTTCGACTTATCTGTTTAAAAACCACTTAACGCTTTATCTCATGCGGTAGCCTGCAATGCAAGTTAACAAGGTCATGACCAGAGAGAGGAGGACAAACAGCTGAAGACACACAACTGTGTTAAAGTAACTTTGATGCATACATTCGTTTAAACGACATGTCTGCAGCTTTATGGGGTTTTTTTAAAGTACGTTTAAGACCCGAACGCAAACTGTAGCGGTAGAATCTAAAGCACCCTAATTAGAATTTTCCGTGACTTTGCCATCTCTAGATCATCTTTAGGCTGCGCTATTTTTTTTTCTTATTATTCTAGTCTGAGAACGTTCCAAATTTAATTTCCGTTTGTTGTCACTTTTGCTAACTATTTTACCACAACGTATGACTACAGGATATCCAAACTCGTCCCAGGTCAATCCGCGCGGAATTATAAACCAGGATCAAAGGAACCATAACTCCAGGAGCACTTCAACTCGATTCAGAAGGAAACCGCTATACTATAATGCCAGGCGACAAGTTCGCCGCCCAAGCAACTATAGACCGCGGTAACCGCGCGCAGAAGCGGAAAATTTTAGGAAAACTTTAAGCTTGTAATCACACGTCAAGCAAGCGCAAATGGATTTGCGCCCGCGTATGCTTTGCGATTTGCTTGTGAGCTTGCATTTGTGTTTTCGTCGTGCGTGTCAGAACCAAGCTTTGTTTGGTGTTTCCAATTCTTTACCTGTCCACATGTTACAATGACATTCCGGCTAAATTCGTCAAAACGTAGTTAAAAAACATATCGGATCCCTAGCTATTGTTGTTATTCAGAACAATTAGCGTCACCGCATGGGTAATCACTGATAATCCTGACAGTGGCTTGAGCCGGAAGAAAGACGAAGAAAAGAAATTAATCCTCCTATGTTCTACTTTGCTGCTCACTGCAGGCTACTTTCAGTCTTTGACCATTAATGATGAAATCAGTTTCGGTTATCAAATGAATAAAGAGGATCTCTAAGTGTTAAAGACCACCTCATGCAAGCACGTACACTTTACTTTTTGTCCTCGGTAGAAATAAACGACTGTTTTTGATTCGTTCATGTTCACTCTTATCTTTCCTCTTTCTTTTTGAATCGCTGGTAGCGAGAGCTAGTCAAATAATGTTTACCAACAATTAAGGGTTTCTGTGTGATATACGAATGCCGCCAGAGATTCGCAATGAAAGCAACTGCTGGTAACGTAGTGCGACCAAGAGGGATCGCTGCCCCGGGGAGGGGGGGACTCCGATATAAAAAGGTAGGGTGCTCGTCGTACCTCTTAGGGTATTCAGCATCAAAAAGTCCAAAGTGCGAGCTTTCGCGGTACCTTTTAGGGTATTGAGCCGAAAAAAGTGTGACAGGAGATCATATGTTGTTTTAGAATTAATACCTGTTAGGGGTGAGAAACACTTCAAGCCACGCCTACAAAAGTGGGCGCCCGCTCCAAGGCAGACACGGCCATCTCGATGGTTTCTTGCAAATAGAAATAAAAAGGCGATATTACGAAGAAGAAAGACTAAAATGTCTGAAACAATGGCAAACAAAAGACTGACTCCGATCAAAAACTGCCTACCATTTTACTTTGTGGAATTTTAACCGGATATTGTACATTGTAATACGTTATTAACTCACGACTCCGAGTCTATCGGTAATGCACCTAACACCAGTAGTCTCAGGAACAAGGAAGGCCGTCTATTCCCGTAAACGCCTTTGGTGCGGAAACCCGTGGGAAGTGTCGGTCTAGGTTCGCCCCCGTCATCCTGCGGCTGGCCCTACCCAGCGTGCCACACTGGTGACTAAGAAGCGATTGTAAAAACTTGAAAACATTCATTCTATAAGCGGGTTTTATTCCGGTCATATCAGAGAACCGGCATAAAGTCCTCAAGACTAGGAAAAGTGAAAGTTCTGTGTGGCAAAACGTTGAGTGTAGTTGAACATGGTATGTAATTTTTAAAGATTAATTTAAACACTGCCCATAAGTTGGTTTTAATACTTAGGACTTATGAACAAACAATTACTGAGCTGCACAAATTCCTTCTTTTCTTTTGTTTGCGTTCAATTTTCTTTTTATACTATGCAGTTTACAGGCACAGAAGAAAGAAATTGAAAGTAACATCCGAACAAGATATTCACATGATAAATTACGACCCTTTAGACCCTTCTTTTTGGCGTTCTGTAATGAAGACAGGCAGCAGTACGAATTGAAATTGCCCATTGTAATTATTTTATAATTTTTTTTTTAGTTCTAAGTAATTGTTAGAACGTGCATAAAAAACACTCTTTGGAAACTGACGAAAGCTTATGAGATTTTGAAATAAGCGGACATTCCACAAACGTGACACGGTCTGACGACATGTTTTAATACGGGGGCAGAATTACGGCGATTTGTGCAAATTAAAGCCACAAAGTTGCAGAGTCTATATATTCCTATGGAAACCTAAGTGTTTCGACTGTAATTCACTCGAAACGAACTGGACATTTTTTTGGCGTTGTTACCGACTCGGTCGACTCAAACTCTGGGAGGTCCGATCTACTCTTCCCTGGCACAGATGGTTTTGCAATTGCCTCGTCATGGCATGTGTGTTATTTATGTTCGTTAGCGGCGTATTGCGTGTGATCTCTAACCGGAAGTATTCGACCCCTCTTTGTTTCCCAACCTTGGCACTGCCTGCCCTGAGAGCTCCCCGAATCATTTCCGGTTTTAGAGATATTCGAGTTGTGTTGAAATGGGGCTTCATTCAAGCCGGAGCGGGCGTGATTTCTAATACTTGAGCACAGACGAAAGTGAAAATTGCGTAAATATGCTAATTGTATTAGTTTGATGAGAAACAGCTCTTTGATTAACGAAGAAAGGGCGACTTCTATAAGCTTTACAGTGCTCTCTATGGTCTTCCTGTTTTTATCCACAAACTCGCGAGGATATGATCTTTTGTCTTGAACAAATTAAATAGATAAACATAAATGCGCTTCTGCGAGAACTCTTGCACGAACCTTTACTGAAGTAATTCTGGAAACAAGTGGCCCGGAGTTTTATAGAGACGTGTTATTTCTCTTTATTGGATCCCGCCTCCTGGGTTGTGTTTATCATTCACTGTTGTGTGAAGTTTTACTCTTTTATTGTTTTCTTTTGAGATATATTTGATAGGTGTCGATAAATATTTATACAAAGCAGAACCAGGAATTTAGTCAAGAAACACGAATAAACCCACGGCAAAGCTGGATTAGCTCAAGCTCTGTAATCCTTCAGGAAATATTCCTCCGTAGAGAGCTAATTTTGCGACTTAACACCGAGATAAAAGCGTCCTTTCAGGACGATTCTACGAGGTGGCCCTTGAATAGTCTCATGCCCCCCTATCACGCCCCGCCATGAAAGCTTTGATTTATCATCTCCATTTACAATTCGACCGACAACGAGGCGTGTGATTGGTCGTTTGTCACCCCACCTAACTCCATGTCAATCCCATCTTGTCAAGCGACGCACATTTCATGTGTTTTGTTGGAGTGCGCAGTTCAAATCATGCAAGCATCACAAAATAACCTGGGATTGTTTCGCGTTTTCAAGCCAACGATTCTGTTTCACGCACCTCCGCTACCTTCCCTGCAACAAATCTTTCGCCCGCCCGAGCTGGGAAATTCAGCAACACTGTGGAAGCAGGCTGTGGGACCAATTGGCTTGGCTACTGCTTTTACTACAACGCCTCCACCCCCTGTTAACGTCCAAGTTTCACCGATGAGCTTTTGCGCTGAATCTCAGGCGGTCATTCCTTCCATTTGCGTCGTGTCGCAAAACTCTGACCAGCCAGTCAAGACGAATTTTAAACCCGCGCCGGTTTTGCGTGTGCTCGAGGAATCCGGTGAAAATTCGAACGTTTGCGTCCCAAATTTGAATGGCAAAGCAAGAAAGAAGAAATACCCTTGTCCGCTGTGCGATATACGATGCAGCAACAACGGACAGCTTCAAGGTCATTTGCGAATTCATACAGGCGAAAAGCCATTTCAATGTACTTTTGATGGCTGCGAGAGACGTTTCGCTCGCAACGAGGAATTAACGCGTCATAAACGCATCCATACAGGCGTGCGACCTCACAAGTGCGACATATGCAACAAGGCCTTTGGAAGAAAGGATCATTTGAGCAAACATCAAAAGACACATCTTCAAAATTCCGAGAAAAAAGTATTTACTTGCGTTGTTCTAGGATGCGGCCAGAAGTACAGTCGTTCCGATGCTCTGACTCGGCACCAATGGACTGCTCATTCCTTGACAAAGGCGAGTTCCAGGGCGATGAAGCGTCTGCCTCGTGATCCACACGTCTTAAGAGCTATGAATCCATGTTCGGTCCCGGCCACTGGTGCATGGTTGAGTCACTAACACTCCAGCTAACTTATTATCGTCCGGCTGATGGTTTGTTTATTGTGAAACACGAGTGATAGAAACGTGAGGCCGCTTTCTCCACTGATATCCACTTTAAGAGGAAAATCACAGAGGGAAATCAGAGAAATGGCTGTTGAATTTCGAAGGATTTGTGAACGGAATTGTTTTATTTTGAAAGCTAAAGTGCATTAAGTTGCTATCATCGCCTGCTTGCATTTACTACATGCTTTCATGGTGGTATTAAGATTCGGGTGCGCGACCTTATCTTTGAAATTTAATATCGTTCGGACAAGTGACAATTCGGCCACTTATGCTATGGGACTTCTCTTATAAAGAAGGCGCCTCGAAAAACTTGGACGCGTGCATTAGGCGGTAAAGCAGATTCACGAAAGATCGAAAAATATATTAATAACCGAATAATTATCCCAGGTGTATTTATTTAGTTCAAAGAGTTCTTCCTCACTCCATCTGTTTATTTGTCATAATTGAAGTAGCCTTCGTTATTTTTTCAGTCAAATTCGCAAATCAACACTGCTCAAAGGCAATTTAGAATTCTATTAAGAACAGTGTCAGCTAACGCATTCATTAGTAAATAACAATAGAGTTGTTATCTTTGCCAGTTTATTGTACCACTTCACGCCATTTTCCTTGGCAATTTGATAATTCGTCGTTCAATGGAAGGAAAACAACCGCCTCAAACAAACTGACGCCTGCCCAGAAAGAGACAATGCATTTTCCGTGGGAAAAGTTATAGACAATAGATCCATTTAATAACGAAGAACCTGTAACAGATTCAAAGATTGTTCAATAGTTCTGATTAATAAATTGTAACACTAATTGAAGTAGTTATTCATATATTATTCTGATGCTGTTTGTTCCTGTTGGAGAACAGGCGATAGTTTTAGGAAAAATTATGCTAAAACGAATGTTGACATCAAATGTACGGACCATCTGAGACATTAGAGTCATTATACTCACGCCCACTGCGAATTAATAAACTGCCCAAGTATCAATGACATTCCCGCCAAGGCGCGCCGGCTGTGGTGTAAACAGAGTGAGCAAAACACAAAAAGTTCTAGTATTTCCGCAAAGCATAGTCCCCTGTACTAACTATGCGCAAAGCAAGCTAGCAGTGGTATTCGGTAGTTAAACATCGCTTTGCGCTTCTGCTATAAAACGTTATCGAGTGAATGTTTTCGTATAACTGCCACGTGATAACATTCAGAACTTGCACCCTTATATTTTTCGACATTTGCGATTAGAAATATTGGTGGGGCGTGAATCTGAAGTACGTGCGCCGACATTTGAATTTATTTTAGTGGTCAATCCAATTTTTGAAAACATGTTTACAGAGGATTACAGTCTTGCAGCGTCTTTGTTATAGCAAACTGAAGCCCTACAGCACCTCGCTCTAAAGGTAACCAACTATTTCAAACGATATATGATTAGGCCTTTCCTTCTCTGTGCCTCATTTATGTGAGTCTGTGGTTCTTCAGTTTTAATTTACTGTTCGCAGCAGTTATTTAGTCATGGTTAGTTCATTGTGAGACAATATTGAATGTGACGTGGGCGCGCGAATCAAGACTGTGCGACTCTGGTTTCCACTCACCCCACTCAACACCTCACCGCCTTTAATTTGATCTACACATGGAAATAATTTGAACATCTTCATTTTCCCATTTAGGCCCGCCGTGGTCGTTTTCACGAAACTTTATATCGCATGTAGACTGTGTCTTCTGCACCTAATATACTTAGGTTTCTATTGTCTATTGTCAAGCTCCCTGTTAAAAGTGCATAATTATAACGCTTGCATCTACGACAAAGTGGAAAAGAGGACCTGTTGATACAGATTACCATGGTGACAGTCTAGGAAAAGCAGATGTCTTGCATCGTGGGCGAACTAGCTTTGATATCCTTGTACAGGCACGTAGCTGTCTTGTTACCTTCTACCGTCTTTTTCTTTCAAGTAGACCAAACTGATAATCAACACCATCAGGTGTTTAAAAACGATATTGACTCACTTCCCAGTCTGGGTCCAAATCATAGTCTCTTGTTCTGGACTGAATAACATCCCTGAGGCTCCCTTTCCCAGACAATCGCGTTTCATGCATTACTAAGGCCAACATATTCTCAATCGTTATTTAATCCTTTGTTGAGAAGAAATTGCATACAGTCACAACTCTGGCACTCTGTTAACGATCTGACTTTGGCTGAAAGCGGACACCAAGTAGACAAAAAGTGGACACTGTCTGGTCCCAAGACAGAGCTAGCGTTTCCGTTTATGGGAGTTCCCACAGTTCTAGAAATGAATGGCCTTTGCGGGGGGGGGGGCGTCCTTTTCAAACCCCTATTCCACACCCATTCCCCCTTCCCCACTCTTTGCAGCACCCTTTCCCACTTTCAAAGAAGCTGTGTAGCAGGGGTTTTCTGCTGATTTAACTCAATTACTTGGAAGACTTGCTTTGCTATCTTTCGCCCACGGTCTTTCAATATCAGGTGGACCAAAACATCATCAGGTGTTAAATGATACATCCCGACAGGGAGAACTCAAAGTTATTACTAACAGGACTTGTTACTAACAGGACATATAGTTGAACGGAGGGACATTAAACATAACAATAATAATTGATGATAATTAATACGCAATTAACATGATGGAATGACTTATGCCTGTAATTTTTTATGACCAAGGTCAAAACAAAACATCTTAGGATGAAGTTATTTACAGAACAAGATAAAGGGTGATGAAAAGGCCAAACTTTAGTGTCCCAGCTGTGTTTATTTGGTCATCCTAACTTATTCCGAGTTCTTTTAATTCAAATAGAAGATGGTGTTCTATGTTAGGTAAGAAAATAATGCACGCTTTTGAGGTCTAGAATAACTTCTAGGGGATTCACGAGTGGAACGCAAGGGCGTCCAGGAGTTTTTCTAGACCTCCAGGGTGCATTACTTTCTTAGAAACCAGACGAACACATTGAAACAACATCATCAACTCCAACAGGGCCTAGGAAAGACGCACTATGGCTTTTTTCAAATGGGATTAGAGTGCAAAGTAAAAAATGTATGTCATTGTGGATATTAAAGTCACATGAAACAATCAATGATTATTATAACAAAATCAATCAATCAATTCATCCATCCATCCATCCATCCATCCGTCAATCAATCAATCAATCAATCAATCAATCAGTCAATCAACCAATCAATCTATCAATCGTTTGTTTATATACGTGACGTCAGGAGTCCATGATGGGCACCTGTAAACGTCTGAGCTAAAAGTTCGTTCACAATACGTACGTGTTATTAGAGATTAGAAAACCTATTTATAAAATGAAATTTTAACAAGATATAAAATAACTTAATTTATTTTCTAAAACCGATTTGACTATTTACATGCTACTCTCAATGTTCGTTATAAAATTATTAAATTTTCCCCACCTAAAATAAAGCGTCACGCACTTAGTTACTTACTACCTTTTTTATTTGTCATGTTGGTCATTAAAATAAGCTAAAAAGCTGATGTGGACCTACAAACTAAAGTATAACTACAAACTTTAGATGAGAAAAAAAAAAAAGAAAAGAAAAGAAAAAAAAGAAAAAGAAACTTAAGAAACTTATGAATCGTTTTACAATGACAATGAATGCTTTTTTCAAGGAACTGCTACACTTCTTTTTGCGCAAACAATTTAGCACATCCAGCTGGTGTAAGTCGTGCGAGGTCTTCCTTGTCGACTGCATACAAATCTGTGTCATTATTCAGTAGCAGGCGGACTATGGCCAATGTGACCAGAGCTCGCAGACACGTGCAGCGGTGGGATCACTTCCAGTGTCAATCAAGGAACCTGACAAAAAAGCTGGAGTGGGAAAAGGGACTGGGAAAAGCAACCACTAGTGAACTCAATATGTAACAAACTGATATCTGAGTTAACCACCGGCATCAACAAGCCACTAGATCGTCTGGTCCGTAGAATTTGATTTCCAACGTACTCAGAATCGTTTAAAATCATGCAAGTGCTTTATGTCACGGGATTGGCAAATCAAGGGCTTTTGTGATGTTCTAAACGTTATCCTTTTCGTTCCAAACATCGTTCTTGTAGGCAGTCAGGTAAGATTAAAAAAGTCCACGATGAGAAAGGCCAATTGATCACGCCCATGAATTTAACTAAAATCAGTGAGGAGCCATAATTTGGTGAGAAAAAAACAACCAAATCTTGACTTACCTTCCTAGATTGATTAAAACTGCAACAAATTCTCTCCTCCCTAAGCAGCAACTTCCTTTCTCAATTAGAAGCTCAGCTCTTTCAACTCTTCCTCGTGCCAAGGCTATGTGAAGACGCGTGTTTCCTTGCTGATCTCGACTGTGAATATCTCTCCCTGCTTTCAACAGGGCCTTTATGACACCTGTCGACAATGTGGGGAAAAACGAGGAAGCAGTTTGACGGAGTACAACCATGTATATCAGTTGACTTCATTAACATCTCCGCCATTATGTATTACTAGTTTTTTGGCTCTTGTCTAACAGCAAATTGAAGCACTCTGTTGCCATCTTTATCTCTCACTTGCACGTTACTTCCACGTTCTAATAAAATCCTCGATACTTCGTAACTGTTGTCATCTGCCATGCTAACTAACAATGGCGTCTGACCTCCGTTGCATACAAGTTGCATACAAGTCAGCTTGTCTATCAACAAGCGGTGCTATTGTCTCTGGATCTCCACGTGCTGCTGTCCTGTGCAGGGGTGTGTTCCCGTCCTTGTCTCTTGTGGCCGGCTTCAATTTTTCGTTTAAGAGACAACAAAATGAAGTGTTTTTCGACCAGTTACCTTATCGATAGCTTCCCTATCACCCCCATATTCGAGAAAACATTCTAGAAAGTTTCACTTCCACTTCCACATTCCACGCTCGTCTGCTACTCCGAGCACTGTACGTCCACTAAAATATCTTACGTGAACGTCGCTCCCATGGCGAATCAGAAACTTAATCAACTCTTTCCAGCGGCCGCTTCTTGCGGCCAAATGAAGCGCAGTTCTCCCTCTTTTATCAACAGCTGTTATGTCACGCCGTTTCGGCAGCACTAAAACCCCTTCCCCCTGCAACAAAGTGCAGAGGAAGCCAGCCATTCTTGTCAGCTAAGTAAACATTGGCACCATTGTAAATTAACGTGGAGACCGCATCTGTGTGGTCTCCATAGGCAGCAGCATGGAGAGGGGTGCGGTTTGCCACGCCTAAGGGTCCCACATCTGCACCATACTGAAGAAGCCACTCTTCACAAGCAGCGTTGCCAACTGATGCTGCAGAATGTAAAGGTGTCCCTCCGTTTTCATCTTTTAGATGAATTCTAGCTCCATGGTCTAAAATTAAAGAAGCTCACAGAGTTCCACCGTGGCGTTTTCCGATATGTAATGAATGGGAACTCTCCCATACTAGTCTGTAAGCGCTCCCATGTTCCTTAGCTTACGTTTGTATTGCGTTATTTTGATGTCTCTGTGTTCCTGGAGGCGGTTTAATTAGGCGAATTATACTTTCTACCAGTTTGCCTCTTTTATTTAAATTATTTTCAACACTTAGCATTTAGAGCAATGTTTGAAGCATGTCTTGTAAACGGCTGAAATTGTAACGCAATCGCCAACAGCATAATGTCACGTATTAACCGTTTTCAACGTCTGGGCCGCCTGTGACGAAACAAGGCTAATATAGTTTTTTTTAAAAAAATAATAATAAATTCAACATCGACTGTTAAAAAAAAAAAAAAAAAAAAAAAATGCTAATACAGATTAGCCATCGTGAAGTAGCAGTGTCTTTTTCAATTCCCTCTACCTGGAAATGTTGACTTACTGGACGGTTACGCCACAACAACAAGTTATGAAACAATTTCAGTTCTTTTTCAGTTTTTATTATACCATTTGCAGTTTTAGCTGGTATTTGTTGACTGAAAAAGAGCTTTGTAAGCAGGCTGTGATCGGACGGTGCATGATATTGTCCTTGATTCTAGTCATTCTAAGTCACGCTTAAGTTCGTGACGAGTTCGAGCTTCGTGCAACAGTGATCAGTTAAAAATAAAACATGGCATCTAGGGAAAAGTTTGATCTAACTACAGCTGAACCTGTTAAGAGGCGAACAAATCGCTTTTGGTGCCTGGTGGCCCTGGGAATATTGGTTGCTCTCGTTATCTTCTTCGTTGGTTTCCTGATCGGTTATTTTGCGATGAAAGCTCGAACGAGCGAATCTCCGAGTTCATCCGAGAAGGAGGAGACCATAGCAAAGAACAGCAGATCTGACTACAAAAAATACCACGAGCAGGCGGTTAATTCACTCACAGTAGAGAGCGTGGAGGTGTTTTCTCGGTAAGTTAAGTAGATAGTGCAATCGTAAGGGAGGACTCTAGCAGTTCGGCGGTCTTAAGACAATATTTATTTTAGCGTATCAGGTAAAGCAATTCTTCCCATGCTCTATGCACAATAAAACTGCACCTCAAACTGAATAAACTACGGGTAGATACTACAGGAAGGGGTTAACACCACACCATCAATCTAGTCAGCTGTCTCCGGCGTCAGGTTTTCCGCATGCACGTTTTCGCGGAAGAACCATGACGCGCATTTGCATTGGAATGTCCTAGCTGCCAGCTTTTCAGGGCACGATGGGGAGTTCACGCCAGCAGGACTGCAAAACTCACAAATTTAATCGGAGATACTATCTAAACCATTTTTTTTTTTTTAAAAAAGTAGTCAAATCAAAAGGTAAATATTTAGGTCAAAGAAACAAGGAGTAAACATGCCCTAAATGATAACGTAAGCAGCGAAAAGCTTTATCTTTATTAGTTTGCATTGTTTATATGCAAATTTTTCTCAGCTTCTGTCATTGTTATTGTTAATTAGTTACTTATTTTAAATTGAAATTTAGTTGTTACTTCTATTCCTAACGGTCACTTCTGAAGATGTATGTTGAAACATACGAAACGTCAAGTAAATGAACTTTGTTTTTTAACATGCGTTTTATTGGCATGTTTGTCACCGCAGTTTGCGTGTTATTTCTTATTAAATCAGTTTGAATAGGAATGTTTCCTTAAAGCAAAAGCGTGGAAAGAAAGCTAACTTTCTAAGCAATAGATGGAACAGTAGCAATATTTAACATGTAGCATCGCTCGAGATATAATAAGTGATTCTTTTCAGAATAATCGACATCGGTCGGGTCCAAAATGGTTTTGTGAATGTAGGGGTTCTTTTTCACACAAAACGAAAAAAAAATCATTTTTGTTGTTGTTACCGCTACT